TCCCGTTTGGGAGCTGTCCCTTATCAAAAGAAAACATCTTAAATCAGCCTGCATGAATACTTTCTCTGTGGCTGCACCACAGAGATGGAGAGTGAGATGGGGCCTCATTTAGGAAAACACAGCAACGCTTAATTCTGTATTATTAACAAGCATTGCCGCTACACATATTTGGGTTCTCACATTCTTTGTATTTGCTGTGCATTGTCATTACAAAGGGCTTCATGCACCAATCACTGTCAGTAGTAAGAGTGTATTGAGTTTTATTCTAGGATTGATGTGCTGTGCATCACAATACCGGTTACTATAAGTATTACAGATAAGGGATCTGAATGAATCAGTAATGCCTTACATTAGTTTAATTCTTCCTTGTTTTTTCTTGTTTTTTCTTCTGCCTCCAAGCTCCGTGTGACCCCAACCACTGACAGAGACAGGAGGGTGTATGAACCACGCAGACCATTTAGTCTAACATTAATAGGGGACCCAGGAGCAAAGGTTGGACTTGTTGCTGTTGATAAAGGAGTCTATGTTTTGAACAACAAAAACAGACTCTCACAATCCAAGGTAAGAGACAAGCCAGAAAAACTGAGGAGTTCAGATAACCATTTATGTACAAGACCAATTGAAATAATTAATCACATCCTTTTAAATGAAAGTATAGGAACTTACTGTAGCACAAATGTTATGGAAATTTTCTTAATACATGTACCTATCATTGTGCACAAAGCTATTCACTACTAAATTTCAGTGCTTCTGTTGTTTTAGTTAGTTATGTTATTTAAACAATCTCGTGAGTAATCATTTACTTTGAATAAGAAGCTGCAATCCAATCTTATGTGTGTCAGGTTGTGACACAATGCTCCACTGTATTTGGATACATTAGACAGTAATACAAAGTATAATTTATTTGTGATATTCTGATAGTCACAGTACTAAATTCATGTCTACTGTCACTGAAATTTGCTGGAAAACATTGGAAGTGTTTTTGCCTAGGTCAAAGCATTTTCTGTAGTATATCATTGGGGCACATAAGTTAACAATACATTTCATTGTTGAAAAATTGAAAAAGAGAAAATGAATGGATGGAAAATTGTTTAACTTAAATTGTTTTAGTATTAGAATTTATATATGTAACACTCTTGAGATAAAAGTTAATGCATCAGAGAATGATTGCACAAACTGCTATTATTTGAAGAAAGTTGCTGAATATTTTTGAAGGATTGTTTGTTTTATCTAATTACAGATCTGGGACATTGTAGAGAAGAATGACATTGGCTGTACAGCTGGCAGTGGCAGTGACAACATGAATGTATTTAACGATGCTGGGCTTATGTTTAAATCAAGCTCTGGAAGTGAAACAAAACCTAGAACAGGTAATTAAAAATTCGATTAAGTGATTATTTCAGGAAACACCCAAAATCTATTTTGTAGTTTGTTTCTATATCACACTACAGATATTAGAGGGAAACCACTTCATAGCCCACTGAAGTATAGTCTAGTGATTGATATGCAGCAGTTTTTTTATACCACAAGCCCCAATACACTGGACAGCATAGATGGAAAAGATAGAAATTGCTTCACAATATGAATTACTGAGGAAATTTAGAATGGGCACATTGTACACACCCAAAATTGATTTTTGACAAGAAACTAGGGTTAACAATTTTTCTCTTACAAACCATGCGATATGTGGGATGGGACATTTACTAATCAAATACTCAGGAGCTTGGTTTAACTTCTTATCTGAGGCATAGTGCTGTGTACTGACTTTTTAGAAATTGTGCTTCAGGGGAAGGAGCAATACCTTTGTCTATCAACACCACTTAAAGCAGTAATCGGATTTTTCTTCGAGGACTTCCATTCCAGTACAGTCCAGGTCCAATTTTAGATAGTAGTAATGTTACTGTCGTATAGTTCCACATTTAGTTAAACCATGATCATAAAGAGTGACTAGAGGTTGTGACTTTTTATCTAAGAAATGAAATTAAGTAGTTAATAGAAGAAGGGAAATGTATAGAGTCTAAAGCAGGTGTAATTTTTCATTGAGCAAAATATATAGAACTTAAAGAGGCCAATTAATATAACCAAAATACATTTAAAAATTTTGGATTAAAGAGCAGCTGTCTGCTTTTACCCATGGTTGGTTACAAGATAAAAAGACTATTTTTTTTCACTTATACAGGTAAAAATAGATTTTTTACCAAAATAGATTTACTTACTTGAGTAAATGAGGGATGCAAAGTATTTTAAAAAGAGGTGCTTCAAAACAGGTGGTTCCTTTAATGAAGCAATTAACATCCCTTCATGCTTTATAAAGATGCTGGGTTAGACCAATTGCTCATTATTTTGGCTACCAAGGATAAAAGAAGAGATCTCAGTGGCTTTGAAAGAGGAGTGATTATTGAGGCACAGTTTGGCAGAAGCTTGTTGATGTTTCCCGAGGAACAATGGTAAAGTGATGCTGAGATGGAAGTTAAAAAGGGGCAACTGTGGATGAAAGTGCATACTACTCAAATATGATATCTTTGGTTCAAGATGCAAGGCAATAAAGATGTGCAGCTCTGAATCAGTTGACTGCAAGTGTCAATTTAAGGTGTGAGCGGGCAGTACAGTTCGTCAAGAACTTCACAGAAAAGGGTACCATGGTCAGGTTGAGTGCATGAAGACTTATTACATCCTAAAATGCACTTTTTTGAATAAGGTGGTATAAAGAACATAGACAATAATGTACTGAGAAGTGGAAAAATGGTGAAAAAAAGTCATATGGTCAGATGAGTCATCTTGCTCCCTGTTCTTAACAAATGCATACGTACATGTGTGGCACAAAAATATGTCTACTGGTATGAGTATTTATTTCTAATGAAGGGTTCAGGCGGCTCTGTTATTGTGTGGGGGGCATTTTCCTGGCTTGGTTTGGGTCCATTAAACCCCTAACAGAGCAAGGTAAATGCCAATAAATACAAAGCTATTCTGTGATAAAGTTCATCCTGTGGTGAAAGATGACCTGATGGGAGTAAAAACTTCCAGGATGACAATACCCCTGAGGGCATGAGTGGTAAATGAATGGTTTAATAAGCATGAATATGGCATGGCTGTCCCAGTCATGAAATCATGGTATTTCTCATGGAAAAATGGTGTTGCATCCTTCCAGTAGAGTTCCAGACACATATAGAATCTACAGCATTGAAGACACATTGAAGTTGTTCTGGTGGCTTGTGGTGGCCCAACATCCTGTTAAGACACTTTATATTGGTGTTTCCTTTATTTTGGCTGTTTATCTTTATGTAATGTGGTCAATATCATTTTTACCATCTAAAGGGAAGCAGTACACATGTGGTCAAAAGAACAGAAGCCATTTCCAGACTATTTTGTTATTCTGTTAGTAATTTTCGTCTTCCTACTGTATGTCATCTAGGTTCAAACCTGCTATAGCATACAGAGGTTTATTTGACAACACTTTAATCCCTGTCAGAATTTTCAGAAAACTGAGAATAATGAGAATAATTTTATACGAATTGTATATGCACGTCAATTGGAAGCCTGTGGAAGAAAAGGAAAAGAAAAGCAAAATGCTTTTGAGGGTCATTGCACCTTACCATATGGCACTTTGTAGGTGTGAGCTGCCGTGAGTTGAAAAATAAATACAATACAACAGACATTCAGTATCAAATGAACATGATAACCTTAAATCACATGCTAAATTTAGATGCTATGTGCACTCACAGCAGTATCAGACTGCCAATGACAGGTTTACTTTAATTGTATTGAGTCTCTTCGTAGAAATGTTATACAATATAATAGATTCAATATTTTATTCCAGATCCCACATGCCCAGAGCCTCCAAAGAGGAGACGCCGATCTTTGGTTTTGGGTGACATCATAACAAGTCTGGGCAAGTACTTTTATTTTATTAATTATTTAACTATTTTTTATAGTTTTCTAGATTTTAAATCACAGCCACATGGAAAGGACAAACAAACATCTAATTATCATGCAACTTTTCTGCAAAAATCCTAGCTAAAAGTTTAGAAAAAGCTGACTACAGTGTTGGAGTAAGAATATCATGAAGCATGTTTTTTATTATTGTTTACTAAACTGTTTGGAAGTGATTTTTGAAAGTGCGCGCCTGATTAATGGTTAGTAGCTTATTAGTCTGTAATTAAAATTTTCTGACTCTATTCTTTTAGTAAGCAATTTCTCAGGACCCCTGCAGAAGTGCTGTAGAGATGGAATGGCAGAGAATATTATGGACTACACCTGTGAAAAGAGGACCCAATTTATTATCGAAGGCAAAGAGTGTATTGATGCTTTCTTGCACTGCTGTAAAGAGATCGCCAAAAGACACAAAGAACGTCAGAGGGAAATGTTAGCTCTTGCACGAAGTGAGTTTCATATTTCAATCAACAGAATAATGTATAATGTACACTACAACAATTGACTCTCCATATTAAGGCAGTCACTTTAAAACAAATAAGCGCAATATCACTGTCACTGTGGCAAATTTAAAGAACTGTACTTACTGGACCGTACTTTGTTAGAGCATTTTATTAATCTATTTTAATTTTAAACAAATATTTATTTCTTATTTTTAATGCTGTTTCCTATTTGTGATCATAGAAATACTACTTCATCCCTCAGTGACTTTAAATCCTCTTGCAAAGACAAAACATGCAATTATCTTAAAAAAGAATATCAAATCAGGTTGATATTACTGACCTGCAGTACTGGGGTCCTGGGTTCAATTCCTGGAGGGCTATATACGTTAAAATGTATAGTCAGCAGCCATATTACCATGCAACTCACAACTGGCAAACCACTGAAGCTAAGCAGGTGTGAGCCTGTCAGTATGTGAATGGAAGACCTCCTGGGAAAAACTAAGTTTGCTGCTGGAAGAGGTGTTAGTGGGGACCATAGGGGGCACCCACCCTGCAGTCTATATGGGTCCTAATGCCCCATTATAGTGATTGGGACACTATACTGTAAAAAGGTGCCGTCCTTCAGATGAGATGTTAAACTGAGATCCTGACTCTCTGTGGCCATTAAAACTCCCAGGTCGTTTCTTGAATAGAGCAGGGGTGTATCCCTGGCATCCTGGACAAATTTCCCATTGGCCCTTACCAATCATGGCCTCCTAATAATCCCTATCTATGAATTGGCTTCATCACTCTGTTCTCCTCCCCACTGATAGCTGATGTGTGGTGAGCATTCTGGTGCACTATGGCTGCTGTCGCATCATCCAGAAAGTGTCCAGAAAAGTGCTGTATAAGTGTAAGGAATTATTATTATTGTTTGTATGTTGTTCCCATATTTCTCTGGGTGCTCCAGGTCCCTCCCTAAATTCAAAGACATCCTGGTAGGTTAATTGGCTTCTGTGAAAACTGGCTCTGGTGTGAGTATGTACTGTATGTATCTGTGTGTGCCCTGTGATGAACTGGGCCTGTGATGAACATCCTTGGTGTATGCAGCCTTGGTCCCATTGCTTACTGGGACTGGCTCGGGTTGAACCTGTATTGGATAAAGTGGTTAGAGAAGGATGGATGACTAACACAAGAGTGGTCAACTCTGTTATTTTTTGTTGTGTCATTTGTGACACTGAATCCCTAAAAGCCCGGGATCACCAGTTCCTGAAATGTTGTTAGATACCTATAGTAGCTATGGAATACAACCATTGTGTTATAACATTTATTCAATTAATATTCAATGATACTATTACCTGTGCCAGCACAGAACTCGGAAAAGCCTAAAGTTAATTATTTTCTTGCTTTGTGTTGTGGGTATTTACAACACAAAACCAGCTGGAGAAAGAAACATTACTGGCTTTGGTCCTTTTTATTGAAAGCTGGGTCTCTGACAAACATAAAAAAAGATTTAGTGAAATTAACATTAATTCCAGATTAATTTTTCTTATCAAAACATTTTTAATTCTGACAGATAACCTTGACTTATTGAGGTAGCATATTCCTTTATCATATATGGAAATTCGGTGTGGTTCTAATGTTATTTATTCAATATTTTTTAAAAAATTAAGATTTTGTTGCAAAGTTATGTTTTAAAAGACTTTATATTTATACTTATATTTTTTTAAACTATCATTTTCCTGAGTCTTAATAATACTATGTATTTTTACCTGGAGAATGTGTATGTGCTATGCATATTATGTTGTACTAAATTATTCCAAAGTTCATCACTCCTTGTTTCAATGTAGGTGAAGAAGATGATGATTACATAAGTGACGATGAAATTGTGTCCCGAACTGAATTCCCAGAAAGCTGGCTGTGGCAAATTGAAACTTTACCAACAGCACCCAAAGACAAAGATGGGTATGGCAACAATTTATATGATCTGTAGTAATGTGCTCTAAGTCATTTAATTGTCTTTTTCAACACTATGCACTGAACCAAATAGATTTAGTTTGTGCAGTTTTTATTTTAATACCAAACAGCAGTTAAGAGTTTATTTTATAAGGAATTAACTGCTGTTTTTTACCACTTCTTTAATAACAGTTAAAAATAACATAACAAACATAATCCAATTTAATTCAATTCAATTCAATTTAATTCAATTCAATTCAGTTTTATTTGTATAGCGCTTTTTACAATGGACATGGTCACAAAACAGCTTTACAGATTTCCAGGCCTGAACCCCCAGTGAGCAAGCCTAAGGTAACAGTGGCAAGGAAAAACTCCCTTAGACTAAAGTAGGAAGAAACCTTGAGAGGAACCAAGGCTCGGAAGCAGGGGCCTATCCTTCTCTGGTCGGCATCGGGTTAAATTAAAATGAACACATACTGTATGAGTGTCGTCTATATTCTATTACATGATGGAAAAAGCGCAATCATGTATGGTAATAATAATGATTATAATGCTATTAATGTTCTAATAGTGACATATTAATATACTATCATTAACTTTTTAATAGGTCTTTCACTGCAATATGTCTTTAGTAGTTCCACTTTGGCATTGAAACACCAGCAGTTTTCACAGACACTGGATAAGACAGTATGTGATACTAGAATACCCGCCAACATTCTGTTCCACGACAGTGAAGTCATAATTTTTCTTAACAACAGCCAAAGTTACTACCATCATAACAGATTTCTTGCACTTGTTTTACAACATATTTTTCCCCATCTTTCCTTACCTGTTATCTATAAATTATTATCAGTGCTTTGGATGCCAAACAGGCCATGCAAACTGACACTTAATTGATTATTAATGAAATTAATTATTAATTAATTGAAATATTAATGAAATCAAAAGAGTGAAGCTCTGAAGTTTAGAGCAGATTGGAGAGACTATAAGGGGCGGGATGGGGAGAGATATATGCATCAAATGGCTGTTTAGCAATTGTAAATTATACTGAAGTTTTGTTCAGTATATTCAACTAAATATAAAAAAAATAAATATTAAAAATCCTTTAATTGTATAATTTTATGTGGAATGAAAAAAAATGCTCATGAACTTGAAACAATTACATAAGAATGCAATATAATATAAATACAAGAAAGGCATATGTCTGTGACCAAGGACATGATTCTAAGTCAGAAATTTGTGAAACCTAATGAGATAGCATTATGGTTTAAGAGGCCTTATTTCTTGTTTAAGCCTTGTTAAAAAAGATATCCAGAGCTTCCTGAAAGACTCTATCACTACCTGGGAAATTACAGCCATCAGTTTGTCTCCACTGAAAGGTAAATTTATTTTGCTTTTTCAGAATTAAAACAGTAGTAAACAGATTTCTACAGACGTACTGTACACCTATAATAGCTCATTAAAACAGAAAAATGGCAGTCTAAGGAATATACACTATATAAGGAATAATATATAATAATATAAGGAATACTGTATACGTCTAAGCTGATCTTTTTAATGTGGTATTTTGTTTTGCTGAAGATTACGTAAAATGACAATAACTCCATCTACATTACACGATTTACTGTAGGTTAAGTGAGTTGTACTAAGGCTTCATCCTACTTAAGGTTCAAAGTGTAGTCATTTAGCACTTTTTGAATAAAAATGTAATATAATCTTGTATATTGTCTGGGTATGTTTAGGAATCTGTGTAGCTGATGTTTATGAGATCACAGTGTTGAAGAACTTCTTCATAGACCTGAAGCTACCGTATTCTGTGGTACGAAATGAACAAGTGGAAATTAAGGCTGTGGTGTACAACTATGAAGACATGCCAATCAAAGTAAGACATTTCTTGATTCCAACTCCTGCTGGGAATTGTTAATGGTTTATTTGCAGATGAGGTAATACAGTCAAATAAGTTCCATACAGACAGGTGATCTATGTATTTGACATCAATTAAATTGTACACCAGTGTTTTACTTGATCACCTGTTCATGACAAGCCACATACAATTTGTGCTTGAAAGGCCACTCCCTGTTACATAAAACAGATGGTGACAAAAAGCAAAGAAACTCCATCAGTCTTTTGCTTTCCATAATAATACACAATATTCTCACTGACTCAGGGGCCATAGTAAGTTTTTGTTTTAAATAAATGCAGTATGATTTTCAATTAGCTGTTCCCAAATGTCTTATTCTTTAAAGATTGATAATCAGAAAATACCAGCATTAGATAAAATATCTGCACTACATTCACTTCATCTTCAGCCCACACTGGATTTATTGAATTTAACACGAAAATGCATAATAATTTGCAGATTTGTTCATGCGATACTGTCTGGAGATCATCTCCACTCTGAGCTCAATTATAATGAAAAAAATGTACGGAACAAAGTTGGAGACTAGATGAACTTGTGCTTAGTACTACAGTATACTAAGAGCTCAGCATCTAATTAGCAAAAACTGTGGGGGGTCTGAATCAGAAAATTTCAATTAATCATACAAGTAAATTAATATATAGGCCACATTACTATTTAGTATTTATTAAGTATTTAGTGATATTTAATATTAATAATTATACATTTTTAATTTTAAAACTGCATGTATGCTAAAATATACCAGATTAGGATATGTCTCTACAAATGTGTTATTCAAGTTTCAATTAGTCACAAAATAAACAGGTTTGAATTTGAACATGTATTGTATTATAATGACTTTTATTCCCATTGATAAAAAATATAGATTCCTTTTAATGAATAGGCTACATTTGTTGTACTTCATCTAAGATTTTTTTTTCTTTAACATACCCTAACATTATACCTAACTTACTATCTGAACCCCCATTTTCTCAATATCCTTTCTTTCTCCCAAGAACCACAAGTGTAGAATCCCACCACAGTAAAAAATACAACAAATCCATCCAATTGCTCTATAGATGTGACAGAACAACTTTAAGACTTAAAAGACTATAAATATGAACATTAAACAGTATTATAAATAAACATCACACATATTAATAAACCCATGTATTGATAAACATAATTGAATGTGGTGTTGTTAGATTATGTGGAAATGTTATGTGACAGATCCCTACATTTGTTATGTATATAACTATATTCAAGAATGTTCTATTGTGATCCAATGTTTCAGTTACTATGCCATAAAGTTGCTTACACCATATGAAGAGGTAGTTTAACTTAGTCCCCTACATTAGTAACTTTTAAATGGCAGAAGGTGTTGCTTTGGGTTCATTGCAATTGAGAACAGCTAACCACATGTTGAATTCCAGTAAGTACGCTGCTTTCAGTTCTTTGCAATTGACCCCGTATGTTCTACTGTACTTGTGTTAGTTTTGTTTTTCTTCGGATGCCCTCATTTACTTCCATCACCCTTAGATATACTGGCTAGCTTTGAAAATTCTAAATTCTAAATTTTAAGATTCATTCCATACATCCTTCATGAAGCTTGTCAAACTGCATTTCATTACCTGGATGCTCCCAACTACAGACAGCATGCAAGAACAGTGGAATATTTGATTATATGACATGGATTGCTGAACAGTATACATGTCCTTAGTCTCCAGCAAAGATGTTCTGTTGTTAAGGGAGAATTGCCACAAGATAAAAAAACATCTACACCATGTAAAATTATCACTGTGACCTCGCCATGGTAAACTTGCGACATATTCTTTCCATTTATTCTGCCATAGGCAAAATAGATTAATCTCCTAAATAAAACATATCACAGGATGTGTTATTTGGGGTGGTGGCACAGTGGCTGAGGGTCTGCCTGTGTGGCTGGAAGATTGCTGGTTCAAATCCCATGGCTGGCAGAGGAATCCTACTCTGTTGAGCTCCTGAGCAAGGCCCTTACTCCTAGCTGCTCCAGGGGCACTGTACAATGGCTGAGCCTGCACTCTGACCCCAAGCTTCTCTCCTTATCTGTGTCTCATGGAGAGGAAGTTGGGGTATGCAAAAAGACAAATTCCCAGTGCAAGAAATTGTATATGGCTAATAAAGTGATCTTATCTTTCTGTAGTGGTTATTTTTTCCTAGATGTGTCTTGTACTTAAGCGACTGCACCCTGAAAATTATTATATTATGCTGATTGATCAGATGGATTTGAAGGTGCTCCAGTTGATTGGTTTTCTGCTTCTCAGGATGTGACCTGTCAATTACAGATCTAGTTTCGCTGGGCTCCTTTGCTGATTCTTGAAACAGAATTTTCCATTTTCCAGGCAATTTTACATCTCACAAACAAGCAACCTTTAATTATGCCAGATATCAACCTGGAACGTTTTACTACTTAAGTAGTGTAATGAAGTTTTTTTAAACTATTCTGGTAAAAATTAAAATAATTTCCTTTTGAATGTCTATTCCTAGACATTTTAAATTTACTTGATTGAAATTCTTATTTTCCTCCCTTCAGGTGCGTGTGGAGCTGATGGAGAATGAACAGGTATGCAGTGCAGCCAGTCAGAAGAGAAAATACAGGGTGGAAGTGAATATTGATCCATTATCTTCAAGAGCTGTGCCCTTTGTCATCATCCCCATGGAGAAAGGAGAGTTGGAGATTGAAGTTAAGGCCTCAGTCTTTGGTGTTGCAGTTTATGATGGAGTAAAGAAGAAGCTTCGGGTTGTGGTAAGCAAACATTTGAATGAAGGCTTTATAAATGATAAAGCCATTGTTTATGCACCACAATATTACAAAATAACCTTATGGAACATCATTATGTTTAATAAGGATATTTTGTAATATTGTGGTGCATAAACAATGGCTTTATTTAGCTATTGTATCTAATTATATTTAGCTTATTTATATCTTAACTAATAATTTAGTTTACAATATTTTTCTTGCTTTAAAAAGCACACAAACCATTGAATAAAACATTAGATACATTTAGATTTTATGTAAATCAGTTCTAAATACAATTTAGCAACTTTACTGAAGATCAATTAAGAACCTTAGTTACTTTTAACAGTAAAGTTTTCATTAGCCATTCTTCAAGCAACACTGCACAATGAATGAATGCTGTCAGCAGTTGTTTAAGCTTAAGATGGACGGGGATAATTCAGCTGACTCCTGGGGTGTGCAAGAAAGATGTGTCATTCTTCCACTCAGCTCTGACCCTGCTATGAAGCAATATGGAGCTTGTAGCACAATAAATTAGGAAAGTCGGTAAGGCAGCTGGATATGTCAGATGAGTGTTTGTTCAGTTACATATTTTCAATGTGCAGCATAGGGGATGTTGCAATAAACAAGGTGATGATTTGATTCATTCCAAAACCAGAAGAAAGTATAAAAAACAATTACTGATTAAAAAATTAAGTACTATTGCAAATCAGTACTGAATTTATTTAGCATTGAAAAGTGGGGCAATATGGTAGATTATTATCTTTAGAGAATACATTAATGCAAAAAAACAAGAAATAAAATTAATTTGTACCTTTTTCCAAAGGCAGAAGGTGTGCAAACGAAAAAGACTATTAAAACCATTGAATTGAATCCATCTGTCCACGGTGAGTTGTTCATAGATTACACTAGATTACTCTCATTCTAAATATTTTTCATGGCACAAAACAACATGAAATGTATTTTTCAAATGCTCTTTCCAGAAGTAGTTTTTAAGAGGGAGAGAAGGATCACTTTATTGGCCAAATACAAATTACTTGTATTAGGAATTTGTCTTTTTCACATATCCCAAATTGCTCTCCATGAAACACACAGACAGGGAGAGAAGCTTGGGGTCAGAGCACAGGGTCAGCCATTTATATGGCGCCCCTGGAGCAGTTGGAGTTAAGGGCCTTGCTCAGTGGCCCAGCGGAGTAAAATTCCTCTGCCGGCCAATACGTACTGGCAACTTCCAGCCACAGGTGCAGATCCTTAGCCATTCTGTGAAAGGCTACTATGCATAATACCGTATCACCTATTTTTAAATGTATTATCATTCATTTTTTTTATATTTTAACAATGTTTAATAAGCGTTAATGAACATTGAAATAAACTAGTCAAAATATTTTATATATATACAAATTGAAATTATATTTACATTTTCCCAGTAAAGTCAGCCCCTAATACAATCACCTGTTCCCTCCACCACATTAATAAGACTAATCAGGCTTTCCTTCCCAGGAACTGCTAAGCAACTCTTTGGTCATTTCACATAGGGCTAAATCACCTCTTTCATATGGTCTAGTTGTCACCCCTCATGCCAAGCAAGTTACATTGGTACACTGAATACTGAAAATCCTTATGATTGTGTTCTCTCTGAGTCCCTTCTAATGGTGTTGATTAGCTTTGTACATTTCTGTGGAGTCACTCTTAACACACAAGAAAAATGCTTCAGAGGTGATATATACATAATGGTAAAAATCAGTAACAGCCAAGCATATTAACAAAAATGGGCTCTCAGAAACCAGAGTACTACCTTACTGATAATGTAGAGCAGATACTAGCTTGTACTGAATTAAAACTGAGAATATATCTAATGTGCAATGTCTTTGCATTTTTCTCATAGGTGGAGTTCAAAGTGAAAAAGTTGATAAAATTGTCCTGCCATCATTAGTACCAAAAACAGAACCTCAGACTTTCATCAGTGTAACAGGTAATCAACAATAGAACTGTTCTATTATTAATATAGTAAAGAAGCATATGCACTGTAAAGTACAATGGACAATCATACAGAAAAGGCATATTCAATAAAATAAAAAAAAAACTTTCTCAAGAAAGAAATGGACATAAAGCTTCAGGCTGAGGAAAGACAAAGTTCAATATTAAATAATGATAGCAAAAAAAGGAAGAAGTGTTATGGTTACAAGAAGATTATACAATTAGCAATTCTACCAATTGTCCCTTAGGAAACAAGAAGTGTTATACATAGGTGATTAATAACGTTTCAAGCAGACTCAAGACAAAGGCATTACTCACTGACTGGAAAATCACTAATGTAGTCATCCTTTTTATGGATGGGTGCATAAAATATTTTACATTTTAAAATAATGTAAGGTTGTGGAAATCATAATTATAAGTGCAACAGAGGATTATGCATATGATAAAATCATTTTTAGTCATTCTTAGCATGGGTTTAGAAGAGGTTGGTTTTGTTTATTAACTTGTTTGAAGTATTTGATAAACTAACAGCAGAAAAGATACAAGCAGTGTTTATGATATGGTAAATTTAGATTTCCAAATGCTTTAAATAAAGCTTCATATACAGTAGAATGATTCTAGAGAGTTCTCAAAAATAATTATCATACTTTAGTCACTAAGGTAATGCATGAATTTGGGTTGAAAACTAGGCAAAAGTGGTGCAGTGGCTACCATAGCTCATCTGTAGTGTTGATACCCTGGGTTCAATTTCAGACCTGGGGTGCTATCTGTGTGGAGTTTGTATGTTCTCTAGCTTGTTGTTCCTAGCTTTGTGTGTATGTGTGTGTCTGTCTTGCGCTAGACTGGCATCCTGTCCAGGGTGTATACTATCTTGTGCCCATTTTTGCCAGAATAGTTTATTGTTCCCCTGTGATGCTATATTGGATAAAGTCATTAGAAAATGGATGGATGGAACTTGTTCATGGATAGAAAATAAATAACAAATAAGTCCTAAATGTTCACTTTGAGGTTTTGTAATTAGAAGAATATATATTACTGCATGTAATGTATATTCTGCTCTTCCTAATTTATATCACTGATCTAAATTGTGGTTTACAATAGTGAGTAATCAAATGAATGAAATGGACCAATGAGTTTGATTTACTGTAAACCTTTGTATCCCTCAACAGGTGAGATTCTGACTGAAACTATTGAAAGTGCCATTAGTGGTGAACCCTTGGGCAGTCTCATTACACAGCCTAGTGGGTGTGGAGAACAGAACATGATTTACATGACTTCACCTGTTATTGCTACACATTACTTGGACTCCACCCAACAGTGGGAAAAGGTTGGTCTGGAGCGTCGAGCTGAGGCAATTAATTATATTAACAAAGGTAAGAAAAATATACTTTGCAAAAACTGTTTTTCAATATCACTGTCAAAACTATTATTTTTAAACAACATTAGAAATGCATATCTACAGAAAATTAAGACATTAACTACTATTTCTCTAAAAAATATCTTTTAAAAGGAGCTGCTTAATGAAGTACTGTGTATAAGAAAACTTTCTTGTAAGGCAGTCATATCATATCTCAGAAGTTTCTGTTTTCCCTGATTCAGAAGTTAAACATCAATAGTCCAGTTTTGCATCTGTGGATGTGGTATTGTGGGGAGAGCCATCCTACAAATGAGATGTTAAGTCAAGGTCCTGAGCACTTGTCAAAATAATGTTTGAAGCATTTCCCTTGTCCACATACAAGCTGAGATATAGTATAGAAGAAACTGTAGTTTATGTATACTCGTCACTTATCCAATGCTTTAGCATAGCAGATGTCTACATCAGATTCTTAAGGTCAAGACTTAAACTGCCAAGTGATTCTTTAAGTTCACTGGGTGATAGGTTAGGACTCTGAGGTGGATGGCTCATCCTACTGCCAGAAGTAAATCAAACACTCAGGAGTTCAGTTGGGTGTGTGTAATCTTTTGCACTGCAACATGTTATAGTTATGAAATAGTTATATTTCTCTGTGCTTATAAGGATGCAGGTGAGAATATTATAGTAGTCCTACTTTACCTACTCAAAACAAAATCATTTTGACTGGTACCTCAAAAGTGGATTACCTTTTTTATTGAAACATTATTGTAAAATCACAAACATTTTCAAGAAAAAAGAGGGTTCACAGAAATCTAACCTTTCTTTCAAGCTCATTGTTTTCCTAAATTTTTCCATAGGTTATACTCAACAGCTGGCTTACCGCCATCCGGATGATTCCTATGCAGCATGGCTAAGCAGGCCCAGCAGCACATGGTATGAATTTGTCAAGTACAGATTCATTATATTTACTTCTATACATTTCCTTATTCTTGAAAACAATGAGACAGAAGGTTATTAAACATTCAATATTCATTATTGTCATGCAGCAGCAGTTGGTGGAATTTGCTTTCGGAACAGCAAGGAACACAGATGAGACATACATACAACATATACAGTACAAATTGAAATAGAACAAAAGACAACAAACATCGTCACATACATATGTAAACACTTCCCATGTAGCTGCATAATTATACAGTAAAATTCAGAGCTCAATGTGAATTCAAAGTTTGTATGGCAGTGGGAAAAAAACTGAGGTTGAAAGGGGCAGTCCTTGAGAGGAAGGATTTGAAATGTTTTCCAGAAGGGAGAAGCTGAAAAAGATTATGATCTGAATGAGAGGGGTCTGAAATGAATTTTCTTGGCACGATTGGAAGTGTGACTTGAATGGAGAATGAAATGGAAGGGAGTTCACAGCCAACAATTTTTGCAGCTTTGGACACAATCCTTTCCAGTTTGCCATTTGAGTAGTTATCCAAGCTTCCATATCAGACTATAGTAGAGGTTGTCAGAACACTTTGGATTATGGTTGTGTAGAATTGAAGAAGAAGTTGCCTGTTCACTCTGTAAGAAAAATAATTCTCTGCTGTGCTTTTTTGACTATGTGGTCAGTGTTGAAGCTTCATTTAAGATCACTGTTTATGTATGTACCCCCAAAAATTAAAGGAGTTTGTGATGTCTATAGGAATATCACTAATGAAAATTGTTTTGTGTTCTGGATACGTCAAAAGTCAATGATGATTTCCCTGGTTTTAGAAGTGTTGAGTAGGAGATCATTGTCCAAACACCAGGCTGTTCCCAAATCAATCTGCTTTCGGTACAAGTCTCATCATTATTTGAGAAGAGACCAACAATAGTAGTGTCATCTGCTTATTTGAAATCTATACAGAATTATCTCGAGATGTAAAGTTATTTATGAAAAGGGAAAAAAGCCATGGAGATAGGAACCAGCCTTGGGGAGCACCTGTGCTGAGAGTAGGAGGCAAGATGTCACGTTATTCACCCTGACAGTCTGTTAACAATGTGTTAAAAAGTCCAAAATCCAACAACACAGCACGGTTGATGTTCAAGTCCATCAGTTTACTGAATAATTTATGTGGATCAATGGTATTAGCTGCTGAGCTGAAATCCAAAAATAGGATACTGGTATAGGAATTTGGCTTATTCAAATGCTGAGACAAGATATTTTTGGGGATTTAGGAACAGGTATTATAGTGGATATTTCAAAACTGTGAGGGGCTTTCTGCTGAGAAAGTGAAGTATTATACAGATGCAGCCATTCAAAATGCACGGGCGATACCGCATTATTTTGCGGTACGCTGTACGCAAGTCTACCGCAAGCTACCGGTAAATACCGCTAGTTACCGTAAATTCTCCTATAATACGACAAGCAAAATAATAGTATCCGGAATTTCCGCAAGGTGGAGCTAATAACGCTCAACCTCTCATGTTTGAGCTGTGGCCATCAGTCTTTAACGAAGATATTACTAATAGTACGCTGGGCAAACATTCTGAGGTCAAATTCTTCCAGCACGGGGGTACCTTTAAAGCGGAGACGACCGCACCGAAATTTTTTGGCACGCCTTCTCTTTAAAGCCCTGGCCAAATATGAAGACAGTACGTACTGTTATAATTCAAACGGAATTAAAAACTACACATCCCAGTTACCATGGTGGTGCTTGTGATCATTGCGTTTAACCAACGAAACAGGGCGAAAAATCAGTCACATGACTTTGGGGCAGAGTTTCGAAAGCTTAACCTATCAGCAACAAAGCGAAATTTACACGATAGGCTACCTCAAACTGTCAGTTACACGACTGTGTATGTCGCTTAAGCCACTCCTATTTGGCATTTTAGTTATGGAGGCGAGAAGACGCCCCCCCCCCCCCTCTCTGGGTGTCTGAATGGTAGTAGCTACGCGTACGAAATAAAGTTCATCCCAGCTACAAAACATATATATTTTTGTGGTAAGAGGGAGCAAAACATCAGTATTTACTGCTATTAATTAGTGTACGATTTATAGTTGAAATCTGAGCCTAAATATAAAGTTAAAATCTCGACAAAGCAATGTAGGAAATACAGAGAAAAGAAATCCTTTCTGACATCTAAAATCAGTTTCGATCAAGTCTCGAAAACGAACAAGAAAAAGAGGATTTTCGGAGGGTAATTACGCTGTATTTATATAGGATAAGTGATTTATGAGCAATCTAATTTCTTGTTCGTTTAAAACAGTGAAATGTCATCTGCAAAAGATCGCACCAGAAACAGCACTCTCTGCCTGTCATAGACGTTCAGGAAAGGCTGAATGAAGTCATGTCAAGTACAATAATTCAGAGATCAATAATAACAGTTGTGGGACAAGAAACAAAAGATAGTGAAAACTTAAGATTTTTAAGGCTAAAACTCAAATTCATTCTACAAATTAAGGCAAATGAAAATTCAGGACGTTAAAGTGCTAGAGGTGTAAAGAAATACAAAAATGCACATGAGCAAAAAGTTTTAGAAATGGAGCAAACAGAAAAAAAGCCATGCCTATACACTTGCTTAGATATACAAAAAAATCACAAAAAGGTGTATGTTACAAAAGAACATGCAAACATGTTCATCATGTACATGAACATGTACATCAATTTCCCTTCGCGATCAATAAAGTCTTATCTATAAACATGAAACATGTGAGGAATCAGAAAATTAGCATGCATAAAAAACAGCAATTCTGTCAATGAGCCCTAAATGAATTAATAGCAACCATGGTTTCATAGAGGGATTCTCAGATAGTTGGGCATTCAGGTAGATTGCCAGGTGAAAGGATTTGTAAACATATTTTGTTAAAGCAAGTCAGTTTTTTCCGCAACACATAAAATACATTTTTCCGAGAAAGTTTAGCCTTTGTCACTAATGAAACCACTACATAAAGACATAAATATAGAAATCATAAGATTTTTTTTATTCAATGTTGGTAGCAGGATGAACTGTGCTAAGTGTATATTTTGTCGCAGAGTTGCTGCAAGATGTTAACAGTGAAAAAAGGTATTTAGAAATGAGTTATTTCAAGATGAAAATTTTCAGAATGATTGCAAATCTAGCAGGATAGAGAAAGCACAGAAAACTGGCAGTTAGATTGATCAGATTAGTATGAAACGTTGTTTAGCAAAGGGAATGAGAAGAGTGACAAACTAGTATACTTTAGATCTTTTTTTCTGAACCAGGGAAAATCTGATTATGTTTCCCTATAACAATAATAAAAAACTTTATTTGATATATCACCATTAAAGGTGGCATCTCAAAGCAATACAGTAGATGTAAAAACTGATAAAAGGACCACAGATTACAAAGTAAATGCATATAAGAAAGACAAGCAGTTAGAGGTGCTACCAAAATTAGAAAATGAAGCAGATACAGACACTAAGTCTTCTGA